AGGGGCTCGTTCGAGACTCCTGCTGGCAGCTTAACCAGCGTGTCAAAAGGTACCCGGACAGGGTCTCTGCCCCCTTCAATCCACGTTATAAGAGCACTATTCTCGCTCGTCTCTAACACACGGTATGGCCCTTCCCACGGGTTGACCAGCTTTGGATTTTGAGATAACTGCTTTTCGCGCGGAACTTTCATATACACCCGATCACCGACCTTCGGTGGTCTTGTACATGTACGTTTGTTCCTATCGTACGCGATCTTCATCTTGCGACGCATTTTATTGCTTTCTTCTCGCGCGTATTCGCGCGCAATGTTTGTGGCCGCAGTTACTTCTTGCGTGTAGCTCTCAAGGTCTACCACGTATTTGCTGGGTTCTTGGTTTGGGATGGTGTTCCACGGAATATAAGGATCGAATCCGTGCAGCAAATAGAACGGTGACTCCCCTGTAGACTCATGGACTGTCGTATTATAAGCAAACACGCAAAATGGGAGTATCTTATCCCACTCAGCAGGTACAGCTACCTTTTTTCTCAACATTTGGATGATTGTTTGATTAAATCTTTCTGTCAGACCATTCTCTCGGGGATTATAGCCCTTCGTATAGACATGGTTGATACCTAGGAGTGATCTGAGCTCGTTCATCAACCGATTGTCGAACTCCCCTCCCTGATCTGATAGAATGCATTTTGGTTGACGTCCTCCCTCAGCGACCCACCTTTCAAAGAACACTCTAGCCACTTCCGAAGCCGTCTTCGATGGAATGGCGTATGCTCCGCCAAACTTTGAAAAGTGATCTATCACGCTGAGTATGTAACGGTTACCACTGGACGTTAACCCTATTTCTAGGATATCGACGCCTACCAGTTCGTATGGCTTTGATGTCACGATTGGTTTCAACCCTGGTGTCATTGGGTGGCGATGATTGTGGCATAGGCACTTCTGACACTCTTGGGACCACTGAGTGATATCCCGTTTCATTGTTTCCCAGAACAACTCTTTCGACAGTTGCCTGATCATCTTTTTCGGACCAAAGTGTCCAGCCAGTAAACCTGAGTGTGCCTCATCAAAAACCGCCTTTCTCTTGGACGCTGGAACAACCTTTCGAACAGAAGCATTGTCTAGTAAAGCAAGATAGCCTCGATCCATGACAAAGTCCGCCACTTTGAGCTTTTGGGAGAGTGTAGGGATGGCGACATCCCTGTCCAGATTTCCACTCTCTAAGCTCGCTATGATCTCAGCATAGGTAGGGTCCTTTCGAAGTTCCGTTGTCCACTCCGGCTCCTCCAAAGCCGCAGCTACGATGAGTTCATTGGGGATACACCCCAACTTCTCTTCCTCGTCCGAAGGAATAGCTCCACGACTCAGGGCATCCGCTACGCGATTCGCAGCTCCTTTCAGATAGATGATCTCCAGGTTATACTTCTGGAGTTCAAGGGCCCATCTGAGTACCCTGGCTGACACATTAGTGCGTTTGAAAAGTGCCGTCAAAGGTTGGTGGTCGGTGTACACCTTCACTGGGAGTCCGTACACAAACATATGGAACTTCCTCAAGGCAAAAACGACCGCCAGCGCTTCCAAATCAGTTACATGGTAGTTCCTTTCACATCGGGAAAGACCTTTTGAAGCAAAGAACACCGGATGCAAGAATCCATCCTCTCCTTCCTGACTTAGGACAGCACCTAAACCTTGGATACTTGCATCGGTATGGATCTTGAACGGCCTCCTACCGCTCCTTGCTTCCTCGATATCCGGCTGTGCCAGTACAGGCGCGTGCACAATGATCGACTTCAATTGGTCAAAGCACGATTTCCGAGCAGGATTCCACTGGAACAGCGTTTTCTCGGACGTCATCTCGTGTAGCGGAGCGGCTACCTTCGAAAACCCCAGCACGAATTTCCGGTAGTATGAGCACATACCGAGAAAAGTACGAAGCTCGGCGCGCGACTGCGGTAGTGGATATTTCCGAATCGCTTCCACTTTCGCTGGATCCATGTGTAACCCATCATGGTCGATGATGTGACCGAGAAATTCGACTTTCATCTCCAGCAGCACGCATTTCTTTGGATTCAACTTGAGTCGTGCTTTTGAAAGTACTTGGAGGACCTGTTCCAACACTTGGAGATGCTGCTCCACTGTTTTTGTCGCTACCATTATATCGTCCAGGTAACAAAACACGTCGTCACCTAACAAAGGAGCTAAGACCACATGCATCAGTCGTTGGAATACTGCTGGTGAAGATGCCAAACCAAAAGGTAGCACCCGAAACTGGTATAAGCCTTCAGTCGTGGTGAACGCCGACTTCTCCTTTGCATCCTCAGATAGACTTATTTGCCAATAGCCTGAAGACAAGTCCAACGTGGAGAAGTATCTCTTGCCCTTCAAGCTTTGCAGGATCGTGTCGATTGTTGGTAACGGATAGCTGTCAATTTTCGTCACCTGATTGACCTTGCGGTAATCCACGCACAGTCGAAGGGTACCATCTTTCTTGTGGACCAACACGATAGGCGATGCCCAGCTAGACTTACTCGGCTCAATGATTTTTCTCTCGTGTAAGTCGTGCAAAATTCGCCTAAGTTGCACACGAACGGCCAAGGGCACAGGACGAGCCTTCTGTCGAATTGGTGGGGCATCCCCAGTGTCAATGTTATGCTCCACCAGTGTGGTCTGAGTGAGCTCTTGTTCGCTCACTGCGAAAACCTGGGCATAGCGCTTAACCAGGCTGCCTATTGCTTCGTTGTGCTCTCCTGTGGTTCTGTTGTCACGTAAGAACCGTAGCAACCTCTCCTCCCTATCTGAGGGCACTTCAGCGGTACATTCCAGCATGTCACCGTGGTAAGTGATAGGCTCCACCTCCACGACCTCCGTAGGCTCAAAGGTTCCCACCTTCTCCCCTACTCGAAAGATCTTTGCTCCTGCAAAGGTGTTCGTTACAGGTAGGTTTAATTCTTGGGTCTCTTTATCCCATACCATGTCAGGGAATAAGTGATCTGTTGCCCAGAAAATTCCTCCTTGGGTGAAGTTCTCACACCAAACGGGAACTGATTTTGTTTCTCCTGACTTTATGTACACTCTCCTGACGACGTTGACTGAGTGGGTGGTAGGTGCCTCCTCTGTCTGGTTACATTGCTGTGATTTTCTCAGCAACTTCCTTAACGGAGTAAAATCACTCATTTTTGCATCCTGCGCTTGAACCGCTGATTGTCTTGGGGTTTCTCGTATCAGACCGTATCCAAGTTGTTGGAGTACGTTGGTTCCAAGCACCATCGTATTGTCTCCTCCTGACATAACAAACAAGGCGATACGGTGCTTTTGTCCATCGAAAGTTTGCAAGGTTAATCTTACCGCACCTTCAAAGGTCATTCTATTGCCTGAGGCATCGTACACTGGTTTGTGCTGGTTTAGCGGTATTTCCTCTACGTCACTGTTTAAATCGAAACCAGCATCCTTTGCTTCTTGAAGCATGTGTAGTGGAATAATACTGATCTGAGAGCCTGTGTCCAACAACGCTTTGCGTGTCATCCCAAGTACATTGACTTCTGTCGTTGTTTGCTCTCCCACTAATTCACTGTGGCTTGTGATTTCCACTGATCCACGCATCCACTTTTTAAGCGATGCAGTAAACATTTTTGCTGGTTCTGCCTGCTGTTGTGGTTTGCGCACGTTTTCCATGGTATTCCGCTTCTTCGACAACATACAGTCTTTCTTCAGATGCCCTGGTTTATTGCAATTGTAGCACTTCATGACGGACTTTTGTTTATCCGTTTTCTTTTGCGGCTCTTCTTTGTTGTTGGTATTCTCAATTGTGCTACTGCCATCCTGAGAGCATCTTGGTTTGTCATTGTGGTAAGCCATGCGCTTTCCGCCTTCCTGGCGACTTCGTGGACGTCCTTCCGAAGCATTCCGCATTATCGCTGCCACTTCCTTGCTTCGTTCACATCTTTGAGCCATGGTCTTTACCATTTCATAAGCCAAGCCTTTGGGGGCAATCTCCATTGTTGTATAGAGTTGGAGATACTCAGGCCAGTCCGTTAGTTGGCTTACTAACTCTCCTGCTCTCGTACGGGAGAGTTCTTCTTCCGATGCGTCCGGATAGGCGTCTCTTGTCAGCCTTTCCAATTCAAGGCAGTATCTCGTTACGTCTCCCGTTTTTCTGAGTCGTTTGAGATCCATATACGCCTTCATTTGCACCGCAGAATCATTGCACTTGAACTTTGAACGTAGTGTTTCCACTAAGTCATCAAAGTTCCCTTCTCTAAGGTTTTTCGGTAGTGCTTGTGCTACCGCCTTAGGGTAACCCTCCAGTTTTGATATAAGTAACTGGTTAAGGAGGTTATTCCGTAGCCTAAGATTTTGATATTTCATCTTGAACTTCATGATGAACTCATCGAAGTTCTTTCCTTGTGCATCTTTAAAAGTCTCTACCTCGGGTAGGGCCATGGCGGCTAATATACAACCGATTTGAGTCTCAGAATGGAATGACCCACCTGAGCTGTGGCTGCGGCTCGACGTTGACGGGCTCAAGCCCTTGGTCTTCGGCCTCCAGCCTATCGTCCCTTCTGGCTGTAATGACTTTTGTTCATCCTTTCCAGTTACATGCTCACCGGTAGGCTTACCTTGTGCAGCTGCCACTGGATCAAAATTTACGTGGTATTCGACATTGTCGAAATCTCCTGCATTCAGCTGTTCATAGACAACCTTCCTACTCGGTCCTTCCTCTGAACCTTGCCGGTTTTGCTGAAATTGAAAGGATTTAGCATGGCTTTTTGGCTCCCATGCTCCTTCGGAAGTTGTCTTTATTTCTTTCTTAGGTGCCAGCAACTTCTCGTGCTGCCTCGCTCTTGATTCCACTATGTCGCTCTGTAAAGCTTGCGCGCTTAGCACTAGCGTGATTGTTTCGCACACCAAATTTTTACACGCGCGGACATCCAGTTCCAACTTATTCAACCGCTCTAGTTCCAGCTCAATGAGATTGCACTCCTCATTTATTTTTGAGCTTACTAGCTCCTCCAGCTGTTTAGCGGTTCTAGTTGCAACTCCCTGCGACGTTTGTGCAGGAATCTCTCGCAAGTTTGCTAGGCATTTTGTAATGACTTCCGTTGAAGTACTTACCTGTTGCGCTTCACTTGCAGCGAGGTTATCCACCTTCTTCGACAGACGCTCTAGCGTCGCTTTTATTGAAGCCAGCTGTTCTGCTGTGGTGTTCTCATCCAACAGCAGTTTTTCAAGCTCTTCAGGGCACAGTTCCATGCTCGACATGTTTCCCTGTAATCAGTGTGAGCTATTCACTGTTATGTGTACTCTTGCACAATTCCTCACACGACTATCTCGAACTACCGATCGATTCACAACTGCGAATCCTACCACAGACAGTTCGTACACCCCAACAGTAAAGCAGAAGTGACGTCACGGAGTGTCACGTGACGCACTACCTTCACTTTATGTTAGGGTATACTCTGCCTATCTATGGCAGGATTCGCGCCTTAGCCGCTCTCAACGGCCTGCCAGGCGGTATCGATCGGTTCCGCGTTTAGTTCGGCCCCCAAGTCACACGGCCCAGGGGTTCTCGAGTCCCCTCTGCCGTGGTATGCGA